CAGCGTGTCGGTTGGCACGCCAGCGCCCTTCCACTCCAGCATCTCGGACGGGCTCGAGGAGACGCTTCGTCTGGATCTCGCGGCGGATGGCCTGGGGAGATTTGCCCAGGCCGACGAAGATGGGCACCTGAGAGCCGCCCTCGAGAGAGGCCGCTGTGAAGCGGCGCCATGAGCCATCCTTCTTGAGCTTCTGGAAGACCGAGATGACACGGCGAGCAGCCAAGCCCTCAGCGCCCCGCATGCGGAGGATATGGCGGCGGCCAGGGGATGCACCCTCAAGCGACCAGTGCTGATCCTCGATGTCGGTGTCCGCCAGCCAGGGGCGCACACTTGCGAGGACCGCCTCCGAGGTGACCGCTTCCTTGGCCGTGATGACGAAGATGGACTTGTCGGGCTCCCTGCACCAGTCCGCCGCGTCCCCGAGGTGCTGGGCAGGTGCCGCCGCCTCGCACGCTGTGACCACCTTCTCCAGCTTCTCCAGGGCCTCACGCATCTCCTGCTGGTCTCTCTGGATGCGCGACACGCCGCGGTCGAGGTCCTGCAAGTGCTGGTCGATCTGCGCATTCTTGGCAGCCTGGCGCTCGCCGAAGACGCGGAGGGCGGCCGTGGTAGTCGCGGCGATGTTGGCGGACATCTTGTTGTTGGCATCGGAGACGTAACCGACGATGGAGTCGCGCATGGCACCCAGGATTTCCTCCAGCTCCGAGTGTAAGACTGGCCCGGCCACCCCCGCAGCAGGAGCAACAGCAGGCCGAGGTGAACCAGGATCGCGGTGGGATTGAGCTCTGTCACGGCCGCTGCTACGAGGTGTCCTTGGGGTCGCAGGCGGAGTGGCAGCGATCGGCGTGGCCGTACCCTGGCACTCGTTCCCGCGGGCACGCCAGGGGTCAGCGCTGGCGGACTGGAAGGGGTCGTCTGTGCCTGCACTGCGACTGCGGTCATCGCCCTCACGTGGGCTGCCGCGCCGACGTTGCCCAGTGCCAGCGCCACCAGAAGCTTTGCCAGCCTTGCCAGGCCGCCGAGACAGAGAGGCAGCGCCATCGGGCATCCCACCCGCAGGAGAGAAGCGGACGGGGAACGTGGGCGTCGAATGCTGGGGCCCAGACGGGCAGCACAAGTCTCAATTGGTGAAAGATTCTTTGGCCTCAAAGCGCGAACCCCCTCGCGCTCATCAGTCGCCGACCGAGGCCGACTCGCGGTCGTCGGGCGGTTCATAGCCTTGAGCCAAAATGGATACGGAGGCTTGGATGTCACTTATGTGTTGGGAGGGCGGGTGGGAGTGAGCTAGACGGCTTGCTATCTAGGGGGTGTCTTGACCCCTCCCCCATACCCCCTACCCTGGACCTGGACGCGCGGGGGGGGGAGCGGGTCGTCGAAGCGTCCAAGAAGGCTTCGGCAAGAAGGCGCAAAGCACTGAGTTTCCTGAGGGGTTGGGCCGTTTCCGGCTTCCTGGGGGGGGGGGGGGCTAATTAGGGACCCCCCCCTCCTCGATCAATATCCTCCAAGGCGGCCCCAAGATGTCCCCACAGGCTCCCAAGAGTGCCACAAGAGTGCCACAAGAGGCGCCTAGGAGGCCCCAAGCGACCCCCAAGAGGTTGTCAAACTGCTCCTAAGAAACCCACAAGAGATCCAGAGAGGTTCCCCGAGGCACCGAAGACGCTCCCTGGGACCGCCAAGAGGCCCCCAAGACGCCCCAGGAGGACTTCACACAGACACGCAGACACGCAGACACACAGACACAGAGCGGACGTGGGGAGCGAATTCAAGGGGCATCCCCTTCTCCCCACGGGGGGAAGGGGATGGGGAAGACTCCAGGCTCTTCCCCTTCCTCCGTGGGGGAGCGAATCCCAGGGTCTGTCCCCCCAGGGGTGGGGGAACCTAACCTCTGCAGAGGCACTCCTCTTTCACTGGCGGGCGTCCCCCGAACAACCGCACGCCTCTTGCTCGAGCGGCCGGGGGCGCATGGCAGGATCAGGCCGCCACTGGCCCGCGCCGTCCCCAGAAAGACGTCGCCCTGGCCGCACACCCAGAGGCACGCACGAAGCCCAGCTGGCATCAGCACGTCCACCCTCCTCCCGGGTCACCTCGCTTCGCGCCCCCGGCCCCCCCGGGAGGCGCGGCTACCTTCGCGCCCTCGCGCCCACGCGCCCCCCCCCCTGGAGAAGGGCAGCTCTCCAACCCACGCCGCGATGTGCGCGGCGCGACTGTCTGCGGGGGCCCCTGGCGGTTCGGGCGGGTGGTAATCGGGGGTGGCCGACATGGGGGGCGAAGACAAGAGCCCTAAGGCGGCCCTTTAGGGCCCATTCTCCACCTGCCTGGCGGCGGAGAATGGGCGGCGCCCGTTTAGGTCACCCCTCATTGCCAGCCGCCCGAGGGGCGACCTGGCCCCTGGTCTCCGGCTTCAGCCTCAGCGGCCAGGCTTCCCCGGGCCCCTCCGAAGGACGGGCCGCGGCGCAGGAGCGCTTCTGCGCACCAGACGGGGCCCTCGCCGCGAAAGCCGCGCCCACTCGACCTTCGGTTGAGCAGAGACCGACCGTCCAGGCATTACTATAGTCCTACCACGAAATGTTCATCGAACCCAACAATTTTCTAAGAACTACGACAATGTTCTTAGAACATAAGCCCGATGTGTTCAAACAAGATAATCTCAACCAGAAATGTTCTAAGAACATTTCGTGGGAACCACGAAAGGTTCTTAGAGCATTGTTTGGTAGGGCTATAGGCACGCCAAGACGCTTCGCCACTGCTTGATTCGGGGCGGAAGCCACGGAGCGCATCGCGCCCTTGAGCTCTGGGTCCTCGCTCCGGGGCCCCCGCCCCGTGGGGTCGCACTGGATCGGCGCCGTCGCCCGCGCCAGGTCACGGAGCTTCGAAGGGAAGTGACGGGCACAGCACGACGACATGCCCGGCGAAGCCTTCGTGTAGCCATTGAGCTGTACCTGAAACGCTGTGTGCACGAACGGAATTGGAGCATCCTGCCCAACGCACCCAAGCAAATGGGCTCCGGTCCCTCGTCCAGCAGCCCCCCTGTCGCACCAGAGCAGCGCCTCTGGAGGAGGAGCAGGAGGAGGAGAAGGAGGAGGAGCCGGAGGAAGAGGAGGAGGGAATGAGGGGGAGAAGGAAGGAGGATGATGAGGATGAGGATCGGAATTAGGATGAGAAGGAGGAGAATGAGGCTGACAGTGATCATGATGATGATGCTGCTGCTGATGATGATGATCATGATGATCATGATGCTGGTGCTGATGAAGACGATGGAGATGGTTATGTTGATGTTGATGATGACTATGCTGCTGATGATGAGGATGATGATGATGAGTGTGATAAAGATGATGAAGGTGATGATGATGACGATGGTGATGAGGATGATAATGGTGTTGATGGTGATGATGATGACGATAATGATGATGGTTGTGGTGGTGATGATGATGATGACAATGATGATGAACGTGATGATGTTAGTGATGTTTGTGATGCTGATGATTGTGATTGTGATGGTTGTGACGCTAATGACGACGATGTGGACGACGTGGACGACGACGATGCTGCGGCTGATAATGATGATAATAATGGTGTTGATGATGATGACAGTGGTGGTGGTGGTGGTGATGCTGATGATGGTGATGGTTATGGTTATGGTGATGATGATCATGATGAATGCTGATAATGATGATTGCGATGATGATGATGATGGTGATGATGATGATGCTGATGCTGCTGCTGATGACGATGAGGATGATGGTGATGGTGATGATGCTGATGTTGCTACTGCTGCTGCTACTGATGAGTGTGATGATGATGGTGGTGATGGTGATATTGATAATGGTGATGAGGGGGGTTATGATGCTGCTGATGATGATGTTCATGATGCTGCTGATGGTGGTGATGATGGTGATGATGATGAGGATGATGATGCTGATGATGATGACGATGCTGATATTGGTGTTGCTACTGCTGCTCCTGCTGACTATAATACTGGTGATGGTGATGATGATGAGGATGTTGATGCTGATGCTGATGCTGATGATGCTGAGGATGTCGATGATGTTGATGAGGATGGTGATGAGGATGTTGCTGAAGAGGATGATGATGGTGATGATGATGATGATGATGATGCTTCCGTTGCTGCAAATGGTGATGATGCTGATGATGATGACGATGACGACTATGATGATGCTGCTGATGATGATGCTGGTGATGGTGATGTTGATGGTGATGTTGATGATGAGGAGGAGGATCGGCGAAGAGGGGAGGTAGGGGGGGCGACGGCGGTGGAGGTGTGGGCGTAGGAAGGGGATGAAGGGAGGCGAGGGAGGCAAGAAGGGAGGAAGGAGGACGAGGAGGAGGAGGAGCAGAAGGAAAAGGAGGAGGAGAAGGAGGAGGAGAAGGAGGGGAAGGAGGAGGAGAAGGGGGAGGAGGGGGAGGAGGAGGAGAAGGAGGAAGAGGAGGGGGAAGAGGAGGAGGATGAGGAGGAGGAGGAGGACAAAAAAGGAGGATGAGGAGGATGAGGAGGAAAGGAGGAAAGGAAGAAAGGAGGAGAAGGCAGAGGAAGATAAAACAGGAGCTGGAAAGTCAGAGGAGAGCAAGGAGAAAGTGTGTGGGGGGAAGGTTTGGGGAGAGGAGCAGCTGCCGCACAAGCAGGCGGGGGGCGGGGGGGCGGAGTCGGAGACTGAAGGTGATCGGAAGGTGATCGGAGGGTGAAGCGTGGGAGGCAGATGGTGGGGGGCAGATGGTGGGAGCGCGGGGGGGGAGGCGGGGAACGGAAGGGTACACGCCGGTCGGAAGAAGTAGGTAGAACCGTGAAGTAGGAAGGCATTGGAAGTAGATTGGGCTTCCACCCGCCCCCTGAAGAGGAGGAAAGAAGGAAAGCCGCTCGACTCTTGAAGTAGGAAGGCGCCTAAAGTAGATTAGGATTTGGGCATCCAAAAACACCTACTTTCAACGACCGGCGTGTAACGACGTGGCCACGGGAGCACATGACCCTCTCTGGGGTTTGGGGC